AGAGTATTTTGGCAGCTTAATAAGATGTTAATTAACAGTCAGATCCTTTTGAAGGGGATAATATTAAATACTGCATTCCTGTTTAGATTGTGATCCCAATAAAATGAATTACAATTTCTTCAATATTTTAGAAAATGTAATCATTTGATTGAGGCTGTAGCATGGTGTGTATATGAAATATATTAAAGTTTTTTGTTTTTTTTTTTAAGAGACAGCGTCTTGCTACATTTTCCAGGCTGGAATACAGTGACTATTCACCGGCGCGATCATAGCAAATTTCAGCCTTGAACTCTTGGGCTCAGGTGATCGTTGCTGGAACTACAGGCTTGCACCATAGCGCCCAGCTACCATGTTATAGTTTTGAGAGGCTGAAGTTTAGAATAAAATTGTAGGTAGAAGTTGGAAGAGACATAAAGTCAATGAGGCTATTTACTTTATAAAGTTAAATTTATATTCATGTATCTTATTCCTAACAGATCATTCATTGGCACCATGAACTGGAATAAAGGTGGTCCTGGCACTAAGCGGGGATTTGGCTTTGGAGGTTTTGCCATCAGTGCTGGGAAGAAGGAGGAACCCAAACTCCCACAACAGTCCCACAGTGCCTTTGGGGCAACCAGCTCTTCTTCTGGATTTGGAAAGTCAGCTCCACCACAGCTCCCTTCTTTCTACAAAATCGGATCTAAACGGGCCAACTTTGACGAAGAAAACGCGTAAGTGGTAATTCCTGATGATTTAGCAAAGATTGGGCTTAGACATATTCATTCCATCAGTAGAAACTGAGGCAAAGAAACTTTGTTTCCTAAATAATAATGACTTTTTAAGTTGGTTATCTTACTGAATTCCATATTTCTTAATAAGTTAAATTGACAAGTTTACTCATTTGTAAGGAATATAATACCTAGTATGCTTAATTATACCTTTACTCATTCAGTGAATTGTGGTTTCTTCCTGGATAGTGTTTTAGTGGGTAGTTGCTCAATAAATGCATGGTTGCAAGATTTGAAGCTATTGAAGTTTGTGGCTAAAGAAAAGTTTTATATGATCCATGTGGTTTTTACTGCAGCTTTTATTGACACAGTATAAATTGTAAACACAGGCATTTGTCAGAACTGGTAGAAACACAAGTTTGTGTTATCATCTAAGTCCTTAAAACTATCATGGGAACCATATGATAGTGGTAGAAAAATCTACTCAGATTTTTCCCACAGTTCTCAAGAAACATTTATGTGTGTGTGTGTGTGTGTGTATGTGTGTGTGTGTGTGTGTGTGTATATAT